CCTCTGGATGGCAGGAGGGACAGTCCTTGGAAGAAATCGCTCAAAGGGCAGAGCGATAAGTGACCAGAGGGGGTTGCGGAATAAACACTTTAGACAGCAAGCCCTACTGACAGTCCTAGGTAAGTGCAGCACAGCTTGCGCGTAGAGACCGACCAATCCCCTACCCCAGGCGGGGCGGCGGCCGCCCCGCCGACCCACCAGCCAGGTGCGCTTGGGGTAGAAGCGCACTGTGCCGGTGATCTCCTGCGACCGGCAGACACCAGGGGACCAGGATGAAATGGCGGGCAAGCTTGGGACAGGGCAGGTGCCAAAGGGGGGGTGCTCCAAGGGGTTGCAATCGATGCCCAACGGCCCCAAACATCTGTGGTCCTGCTTCCAGGCATCTTGCTACACAGACGGCCAGCTTGCCGCCTCGCCTGTGTGACAAGAGCCCAGGAGCGGGCTGTCCCCCACCCAGCCCATGCCCACCACGAGGTGGCGGTTGCCGTCCAGGCGCTTCACGTTGACGAGGGCCGGCTCAAAGTCCAGGCTGCCCGTGAACTTGGCCAGGTAGGCCGCCACACGCATGTGGCCTGGCGGTTGGCATTTTGAGGGGAGGCGGCTTGGGGGTGGGAGTGGGGGAGAAGGCGCCCTTCGGCTGAGGTTGCGTTTAAGGTCTATCGCAAGCACAGAAGGCGCCGGGGTGGACGGCCGCGGCCAAGATGGCGAGGGGGAAGCAGGGCTTAGGTGGTCCAGGCCTAGGCAGGTGCGTGGCCACACAGCCCTTGGCAGTGTGCAAGGTCGGGAGTTGCCGGCGCAATGCTCCCCCCTCCCTGTGGTCTCAAGCTCACCCTTGCGGCTGGTCAGGATCGGCGGCACATCTGGCGGCGCAAGGTGGGGGTGCACAAGGGTTTCCCTATCAGCAATGAGGACTAAATTTCCACAACACCGTGCTCGTATTATCAGATCTTGCAGCTGAGGGCAAAGGCAGGCAGCGCAGGATGGGACCAGAAGGCACGCAGCCAGAGACGAGGCGAAATCAAAAAGAGTGCTGGTGGCAACGCTGATAGCACACAGGATGAACAGCAGGTGCCACAAAGCACAGGAGGCGGCACGCATATGCCCCTGGGCGCAGGCGTATCAAGGCACGCGTGTGTATGCTCTCACCCCAGACGACGTCCCTGGAGAGGATGGGCATCACCTCGCAGAAGTCCTGCATGTATCGCGCCCTCATGAGGTCGCGCACGGCGTTGACGATGCGCGCCGCGCCCTGGGGCATGCTGGGGGTTGTGATTGGAGCATTGGCATGAGGTGTGGAAGAACGGGGCTCCGAGCCCCCTCCCAGAAGAGCTACAGGTGTGGCGTTGGTGCAATGCAGGCAGGTGGGTGCCCCATACACCCAAGGTCCAGCTGACTGCAGGGGAGGGATTGAGGGATGCATGTGTCACAGTGACACGCCGGCTCGCCGGCGCTCGCCGCGGTCCTCGCGTGCTCACTTGTCGGCCGTGAACGTCCCAGTGCGGGCGTCCTCACTGCCATGGACGTACTCTCGCTCGGTGTGGGCCGCGTGGGGCGCCACAACGTTCGCAGCCATCGCGATCTCGGCTTGGAGAGCGTAACGGTGGCAGGTACCGTAGCAACAAGACGTGGTTAGCGATCGTGGTTAAGGAAGCTTCTATGAGGGGTAACAAAGCAATAGAGAGAGTCAGCAATTGGAGCCCTTATGTGCGGCACCTGACGCTGTCCAGTCACTTCCTCGGACATGCGCGCACCTTGAACAAGCGAGCGCATCTGCGCGCACAGCACTATGAGCCGCCCGCAATCCAAGCCTGTGGCGATTGGCACACGGGGCTCTCTGCGCAAGCTGGTTGGACGATTTAACGCCCATCGCTCCAGCCTGACTAACACTTGCATCGGCTGCGTCACCCTGGCAGCAGCAGCGAGCCCTGCCCGCCCGACAAGATTGATACTCTATTTCGTGCTGGTCATCCCCCAACAGCCCGCATGCGCCAACCAAGCCAGCCAGCTTCAGGTGGCGCGCTGCTCGCCTCGTTTTAGGCTCATTTGCGCACCGAAGCTTGGGGAAGCGACTTGCCTCTTTGGGCTTGTCCTGCTGCCAATGTCCAAACTCGCCATTCAGAATTGAGCAGCAGCCCACGATTCCTGGCGAACGATTTGGAATCGCGACATGTCATCCTGGGGTCAACGCCCGTTGCAAGCGCTGCAAGGCTGCTGGTCAACGCCCCGCGAATCCAAGAGTCAACACGTGTCCAAGCATCAGTGGCCGCCTCAGCATCTGAGGAAAGATATGGCATGTAGCTTTGTAAGCCAAACCGGACGGGTTACATAAGGTCGTTGCCGGCGTGCAGGCCACCTGCTGCGACACTGCAGCGGTGCGGCGGCTGCTTGACGGCGGCATTATCAAATGTTGCTATGCGCGTGCTACGCCATAAAACGTGTTGATGCACGGACTCTTCTTTCTTTCAGCGCTCTTTGTTGACGTAGAGACAGCCCCTTCGCTCTGCACTTGTATCTCTCGCCAAACGAAGGCGAGCTAGGGCCTTCTAGGCGGTCGTATCAGGATAGAAAAAGCTTCATCATTGCATTAGGTCACCCACAGCCGCCCGAGGAGGCCGAGCAGCCGCCCGTGCGCTCGGCAGCCTGCGACCACCCCAGGGCAGCGGCCTGTAAGCGCCGGGCGCGGCATCACCGGCTTCACCAGCGGTAGCCATGAGGGTCGATAAGTGCTGGTTCTGCAGCAGCGCCATCTACCCAGGTCACGGGATCAACTTCGTGCGCAACGATGCCACCGTCTTCAAGTTCTGCCGCAGCAAGTGCCACAAGAACTTTAAGATGAAGCGCAATCCCCGCAAGGTCCGCTGGACCAAGGCGTACCGCAAGCTCGCCGGCAAGGAGCTCGCCGAGGACGCGACGTTTGAGATGGAGCGCCGCCGCAACCGGCCGGAGAAGTACGACCGCGACCTCGTCATCAAGACGGTCAAGGCCGTGGAGAAGATCAGCGAGATCCGCAAGAAGCGCCAGGACCGCTACCACGAGAAGCGCATGGCGCGCGCCAAGGCCGGCCAGGTGGCGCAGGACAAGCAGCAGCTCGAGCAGCAGATCCATCTCATCAAGGCGCCCGCGGCCATCCGCACCAAGGACAAGGCCAAGGACAAGCAGGAGAAGGTCAAGGTGCTCGCGGAGCAGCGCGCGGCGGAGACCATGCAGGAGTGAGGCGCGTCGCGGCCAGCGCACCGCGCGGTGGCAGAGGGCGGCATGCAGCCGGTGCGCGTGCAGCCGCGTCTCCGCAACGGCAGCGGCGCAGCCGGGTCCCCAGAAGGCGGCATGTCCAATGGCGGCGGGGGGGGGGGGCAGCGGTGGCGCTTTCAACATCGGCGACGGTGCCCGCGGTCGTTTTGCGGCAATCCAGTCGCCCAGGCGCAGCCGTCGCGCCTGGCAGCAGGGTCGCTGCACGCCGCGCCGCGGGCGGCTTTCTGCCGTCGCAGCCGCCTCTGGCTGTGTCAATGTAGTGCAGCAGGATTGGGCTCTTCCTCTTTTCAGCAGCGTTTCAATTTTTCTTTGCGTGCAATGGCAGCAGCGGACGCTGGTGCCTGTTTGGCGCGCACATCAGCGCCGTGGTGCGTTGCGTGTGGATGCGCCACAGAGCAGATGCTGTGTGCTTTGATCAAGTGTTCGTCTGTTTTTTTTCTGTTTTTCGTGCCACTGACCCCGTGAGTCGTCACCGACGTTTGACTCCACTTTCAGCGACATCTTCTGTGGCACCGGGTGCACCCTGCACCATGAGCCCAGCATACACCCGGCAAGCATTCAACTGCCGCTCTGGTCACGTCACGCCCTGCCTGTTCAATGGTGCACATTGCTGAGCGTGCTCCCCTGGTTTTTTGCCAAATGGATTGCGACAGCTTGTAAGCTGATACGCTTAGACCGAAGCCAACAGCAACAAAGCCCAGCGTCAATCTTGGCACACACGCGATGGAGGAGGAACAAGGGTGGGGTGCAGCCCCTGACCGCGCCTCCGTTCGCGCCTGCTCGTTTCATGGGGTCGCCTGCTTTCTCACCCCCACCCTGCAGCCCTGATCCGTCACGGCTGCACTGAAGACGCCAGCATCTCCAAGCCACGGCAGCCACATGGCACCATGCAGGTTTGAGGGGTTACTCTAGAATCAAGAGATGTTGGTGGGGGCAGACTGTGCACATCGAGAAAGCAGTGCTGCATTGCCCACCACAAATCGCAGCTGTGCTCACAGCGCAAGGGGAAGAGCTGTCTCCGGCCAATGCTGGCAGCCGCCCCACTGGGGTGGGCGGGCGGGGGCGCACACCTGTGCACGCTTAGCAAGCATGGACGGCCGCCCAACTTGTTTCGGGCGCTTGCAGCAAGGGTCCGTCTCTTCACTGAATTGCCAGGGGCTGCGCAGCCCCTGGCAGTGTGTCGACGGCTACAGCACAGACGGCCTGCCCCAGGTCGCGCGCCACCCCGCATCATCGTGGTTGGGCCACGCCCGCCAGCAGCGCGCGATACAAGGGTGAAGCTCCCCTGCGTGCGGCATACGTGCACGCGTAATTGTGTGCAAGGTTTGCACGTGCGATTGCGGTGCATGCATGCGCGTGTGTGTGCTGTAGGAGCTGCGGGCTTGCTCTGTGATGGTCCAAGGCAAACGCCGTCAAAAGTGCGAGCTTCTGTTGAAGTGCAACCATGTGCCCAGATGTGGCTGTCCCAAACATCAATGATGTCAATGCTGAGGCGGTGTTGTGGTGAGGGGGGGGGGGAGATCTTTGCAGCCAGGACGAGAGGCAGCGTCCAGCAAACCCTCACTGATGCGCCTGAAATGTGCAAAATCATGATTGCCGCAACCGCGCAACAATTTCCGAATGAAGGCAGCGACAGGGCTAACGGGGCCAGCATGCGCCGCCAATGAGGGGCGGCCTCGCAGCCCGCAGGCAAGAGGTGATGTATGCGCTCAGGCTGCGGCGGCGCGGGGCGCGGCGCGGCCCGCCCGCGGGTCGCCACAGCGTGTGAGAGAACGAGAGGCGTCCTGTGCACGAACACCAGCCTGGATCAAGGCATCAGCCTGCACAAGGATGCCGCATCTCAAAGCCATTCAAATCACTGGGTGCGCAGCCACGAAAAGAATCATGTGGGCTCATTAACGTGTGATAAATGGCGGGCCCCAGTCAACGGGCTCAAGGGAACAAGGAGGTCAGTCAGCAGCGCTGCGCCACTTGAAAAGGTGTGCGTCGCGCCGCAGCGCATCCACCATGGCTTAGGCCAGAACCAGGATTCGGGGCTTGCACCGAGTGCGCCTCGCCAAGGGTTGCGCCGTGCCGCGCGGCGGTCTACCAATTCAGCGCCCATGCCCAGCGCCAGCTCAGCGGGCCGCGCGCCCCGGCCGCCTGCCCCGCCGGAGCGCGCGCGCCCGGACTCGCCACCAGGCGCCGTCGGGCTCACGGCTTCGCAACCAGCGCAAAGTCGCGCACCACGCCGCCGCCGCCGACGGGCACGGTGATCTGCGCCACTGCGTCCGCATAGCCAGCCATGGTCGCGACCAGAGAGTAGTTGCGGCCGGGTGCCAGGGGGCGCGCGTAGAAGCCGTGGCCCCTGGACGCGTAAAAAGGAACGGGGGCGGCGGCGCCGGCGGCACTGCGCACGTACAGCGTGGCGGCCAGGGGGGCGCCGCTGGCGGCGTCTGTGACGCGGCCGCGCACGCCTGGGGATGCGGAGGGGAGGGGAGGGTCGTGGGCGGTGCGGTGGGGTTGACCCGCTGTCATGCAGGGCGAGAGCTGGTTCTAGCAGGTGGGGCCTGCCCTGAGAACCACCAGGCGTAGAAACTTGGGTTCGAGGAGCACACAATTATGAGCCACACAGCCCGAATGTCACAATATTGACCCCTAAAAGCCAACCCTAACTCATGTATGATCCTCCCGGAGCGCACATGTCCCCAAGCACGCTCGCTTCATGCCTCAGCAGCGCAATTCCGCCCCTCGCCACCCCCCATGCCCCTCCCCCGTTTACACCCATCCTCGTGGGCCTCAAGCCACGCAGCCCCTCCCCCCCCCCCCGGGCCCCTCTTCAGTGTACACCCACCCTCGTAGGCCCTGAGCGGCAGCGCCAGCAGCGCATCTCTGTTCTGCTCCCACAGGCTAGGGATGGCGGACGGCGGGGGCGCCTTGACAAGCGATGTTTCGATTGTGAAGTGGATGCAGCCCGCTGTGGTGTAGTCCCAGTCCTGATGGTGTAAGGGAGTGTGTGTGTGTGTGTGTGTGTGTGTGTGTGTGTGTGCGCGCGCGCGCGCGCGCGCATCCATGCATGCAACCCACGTGCAATTTTGGAGGTGTGTTGGATTGTAGGGGCTATCAGTATGTGCGTTTCTGAGGGAGGGGGTGCCCACGTGTGCGCGCGCCAGTTGTCCGCCTCGCGGCCGAGGCAGTTTCTTGGCCCAGCCGGCTGGCTGCCCGAGAAGGGGGTATCTGGTTCGAGACCCCTGGCCCGGAGCCCCCTAGCCCGCAGCCCGCAGCGCGCGACACGCGTTTTGCATACGAGGCGCGCCCTGCGCACCTGGTAGCTGCCGTAAACAGGGTACCACGCAGCGCCGTTGGTGACGCCGCCGTCGTCCCTGAACGGCTGGTCGTCGTTGTTTTGTGTGTGTTGCGGGGCGCGACGGGCATGGGGAGCGAGTCAGAGGGGCAAAGGGGATGGGGCTTTGGTTGCGGTCGTCAGCAGAGGAGGTGCGAGCGTGGGGGTTTGAAAAGCGATGAGGTTGAGAAGCATGCGTCAAATCAATTGCCTCGCAAACAGGTCGCAAGCGCTGGGAGCACGCGGTGCCGACTCTTGCACCGGGGAGAGGTGATGCAAGGGGCATAGCCGGCCCGCATGGCAGGACTGGGCGGGCGGCGCCGTGAGCCGGAGTTCAGAGCTCACCCCTTGCAGCATGGCGGGGTTCAGCGAGGCGTAGGCCTTTGCGAGGTACGTCAGGGTGACGTCATCAGGGGCCACGCTCGGGCCGGAGACGAATTGCGATAACGACGGGTAGCCGTCCCAGGGGTAGTTGACCACCTGACGGTTGCCGCGGCGGTTGAGACGACGATTGGTGAGGGCCTCTTAAGATTGTGCGGATTTGAGTCCTTGACGAGCTGGCAGGCTTGGGGACGATCCGGCAAGCACCGCAGAGGTGTACAGGCTGCCGTGGCCCATGGCAGGCGGCTGCCGGCGCGCCGTCGCAGGCAGCCTGGCATTCATGCTTCACAGCCGGGCTGCCAGCAGGCGGGGCCGCACAAAGTCCAATCGAATTCGTCACTGAAACCCTTCCCAATGGCCCAAATCATGCTTCATGAATGCACACAGCTCACCAGGTCGCCCTCGTGAAAGTTTGCTGCCGCCAGCCAGGTGCGCCCCTGGCTGAACGCCATCACAGCCCGCACCTCCGGCTGCGTCAGGGCCGTCGGCTGCCGCAGGTCGGCGCCGCTGCTGGCAAAGTGGTCTGGGAAGTTGCGGTTCAGGTCGTAGCCAGCGCCTGTGCCGCCCTTGGCCCTGGAGTGGTGGACAGGAGTGATGATGGGGCGGGGCGGGGGG